CTTCGAATTGAACCTCAATTATTCTTTAAAAATAATTTTTCTCAAAGAAAATATGGCTGGGTATGTGAAGACTCAACAAACGCCCGGTTTAAGAGTACGCATAAATGTGATTTTTTGAAACGTTGACCGTTAGCTTAAAACAGATTCTTATAAGCTAATCTCATACAGTGGCGAGAAGTGGCGAGGAGAATTGTTTCGAACATTCATAACTTTTGTAAGGTATTTTAAATACCTTAGTAGGTCTATAACTAGGAAGTTAGTTATTCTTAGATTCTCCCGGATGTACTTTCATCTTTCTGAGACTTTGACCTGATGACCCACAATTCATATGATTTCTAGGAGAAGGAAACATCTTTGTTTCTGTCCAGGCAGCTAGGCTCTTAGGATTTACAGAAATTGGATTTGTCTAAATCCTCTTAATTCTCAACAGACTCTAACTCTTACATTCCAGACCGTCTCACCATCCCGGCCGGCAAGCTCCATCATCCCACGTCCCCGCCGAGCCACCTGGCGTCATTGGAATGCACCACAGGACCGCATGAATATTCCCCTTCCCCTTTCTCGAGGTCTTCCTGTTTTCTTAGATTTTGTGTTCCCCTTTTCCGCGAGTCAGGATTTGATCTAGACTCTTCCCTTATCTTGTATTTAGCCAATTCTATTATAAATAAAACACTTACCCCATGAAGGCTCTTATTCTTTGTTCAAAATCGCTCAATTGACTTGAAAGTTTGCATGAGAATAGCTGTAAAATCCAAAAACATAAAAATCGGTTTTCTGAAACTTTCTCATTTTCTAAATTTTCAGAGCAGTTTCAGAAGTAACAGTGGTCCGAGAATCCAAAAAACAACTTTTTTTTCATCATGTTTTCTGGCTTTAATTTTAAATAAAGCTGATAAACAACTCAAAACACATCGTTCGTGAAATTTTGAGCCTCAAAAATACATTTTCAGCTGAGTTATAGCAAAAATGCCGACACGTACCTTTTGTGCTCTGAGCATCATAGCTCGAGAGCCCGACTACCAAAATTCTTCAAAACTTTTTTGATGCATATATTTGGACACTCGAACATTTAGAATCAAAGCCAGAAAAAATTATGAAAAACAAAGTTTTTTTTGGATTCTCGGACCACTGTTACATCTGAAACGCTCTGAAAATTTAGAAAATGAGAAAGTTTCAAAAAACCCATTTTTATATTTTTGACATACATGTGGATGGCCGGGCCGANCTAAAAAATCANTTTTCTGAGCGAAAAATCAGGATTTTTGAGCACTTTTCAGCTAGGAAATCGGATTTTTGGAGCGAAAAATCGAGATTTTTTGAGTTTTTCTTTGATAAAAATTAGTTTTATTGGGTCAAAAATCAAGATTTTGAGTTTTTTTTTCGCTGAAAATTGTTTAAAAATCCATTTTTGAGCATTTATC